GAGAGGTGGGGGCGGGGAGAGGGGGAGAGGAGAAATGAGAATACAGAGAGGTTGAGGAGAGAGGAGGGAGAAGAGGAGAGAGCAGGGAGAAGAGAGAAGAGAGGAAGAGAGAGGAGAGATGGGAGAGGAGAGAGAAGGTAGGAGAGGAGAGAGGGAGAGGAGGGAGGGTGAGGATGGAGGAGAGGAGGAGGAGGTAGAGAGGAAAGGACAGAGGGAGAGGAGAGAGGTAGAGAGGAGGGAGGGAGGAAGAGAGAAGGGAGGGAGAGAAGAGAGGAAGAGGGAGAGGATAGATGAGAGAGGGAGAGGAGAAGAGGGAAGAGAAAGAGAGGTGGGGGTGGGGAGAGGGGGAGAGGAGGGAGAGGAGAAATGAGAATACAGAGAGGTTGAGGAGAGAGGAGGGAGAAGAGAGAGAGAGGAGAGATGGGAGAGGAGAGAGAGAAGGTAGGAGAGGAGAGAGGGAGAGAGAGGAGGGAAAGGATGGAGGGAGAGGAGGGAGGTAGAGAGGAAAGGACAGAGGGAGAGGAGAGAGGTAAGAGGAGGGAGGGGGAGAGAGAAGGAAAAAGGGAGAGAAGAGAGGAAGAGGGAGAGGGAAGATGAGAGAGGGAGAGGAGGAAGAGGGAAGAGAGAGAGGGGGGGTGGGGAGGGGGAGAGGAGAAATGAGAATACAGAGAGGTTGAGGAGAGAGGAGGGAGAAGAGGAGAGAGCAGGGAGAGAGAGAAGAGAGGAAGAGAGAGGAGAGATGGGAGAGGAGAGAGAAGGTAGGAGAGGAGAGAGGGAGAGAAGGAGGGGGTGAGGATGGAGGGAGAGGAGGGAGGTAGAGAGGAAAGGACAGAGGGAAGGAGAGAGGTAGAGTGGAGAAGAAAGAGTAAGAGGAAGGAGGGAGAGGAGAGGAGAGATGGAGAGAGAGGAGAAGAAAGAGAGGGAAGATGAGGGAGGGAGAGGAGAGATGAGAGAGGGAGAGGAGAGAGGTATAAGGGAGAGGAAGGAGGAGGAAGAGGAAGGGAGGAGTAGAGGGGAGAGGAAGAGAAAGAGAAAGAAGGGAGAGGAGAGAGAGAGGAAGAGGGAAGATGAGGGACGGTAGTAGAGGAGAGAGGTAGGGGGAGAGGAGGAGAGGAAGAGGAAGAAGGAGAGGGAGAGATGAGAGAGAGGAGGAGAGATGAGAGAGGGGAGGGAGAGAGGGAAAATGAGAGAGAGGGAAGGAGCGAGGTAGAGGGGGGAGGAGAGAGGAGAGGAAGAGGGAGAGGAGAGATGAGAGAGAGGGAGAGGAGAGAGGAAAAGAAAAGGGAGGGGGAGGAGAAAGAGGTAAGGGGAGAGGAAGAGGAAGAGGAAGAAGGGGAAAAGAGATGAGAGAAGAGGAAGAGGAGAGATGAGAGAGAGGGAAGATGAGGAAGAGAAAGAGGAGAGAGGTAGAGGGGGGAGAGGAAAGAGGAGAGGAAGAAGAAGAAGAGAATAGACGAGAGAGAGGAAGAGGGAAGATGAGAGGGGAGGGAGAGGAGAGATGAGAAAAGGATGGGAGAAGAGGAGGGAGGAGAGGAGGAAAGGTAGAGGGGAGAGAGAGGGAGAGAGGCAGAGGGGGGAGTGAGAGGAGAGAAAGAGAAAGAGAGAGAGGGATAGATTCTGTTGAATCTCTCAGCTGAGCTGAATTCTAAAACATGAAGTCAAGAGAAAACATTTTTTTACTTTTTATGAACTAGGTTTCAAGAAGGAAAAATGATAGAGAAAGATGGTTTGGTATGAAACGAAAAAGAGCAACAAAAAAAGAAGAAGGAGAGAGAGAGGAGACAGAAAGGAAAGAAAAGACACAAAGCAACTGGTCATTGAAATGGATGACAGAGAAGAGAAAGACAGAGGAGGGAACAAAAGGAAAAAAGATAAAAGACAAGAGTGGGATGAAAAAAGAAAAAGAGAGAGAAGGGGGGGAGAGAATGAGGCAAGAGAGAAAGGAGAGGATAGATTGTTTTCTTAGATTATCCTTTGCATGTAATGTAGCGCAGTACAGGGGCGGAATGACCATTTGGAAACTCGGGCACTGCCCCCGAGGTCAGTAGGGGACCCCATGAGATGCCCCTGGTACCTTTTTCATAGGCTTTTTTGAGTTTGGGCAAGGACACAGGGGTCCCAAGATCCCCTATTGCCCGTGGGCACCATGAGTTGTCAGTCCGTCCCTGCTCCCGGGTGTGTCACATACCTACCTCCCCCCAATGTCTGCTGAAGTTCCCCCCTCCCAAGCTGTTACATCACTTGTGTGCCCCTGGTGGACACTGAATTATTTCCTCCGGGGAAGGGAAATGTTTCGGGAAAATGGTTTTAAAGATAGAAATGCATGTTTGGGAGATATATTAGACAAAGGGCAGTTATACACTTTTCAAGAATTGAAGAATAAAAGGAATTTTGTTTTTTGTTTTAGATAAACTGAGATATTACCAATTGGGACATTTTGTCCCAAACACTTTGTCAGCCTCTGCGGATAACGGGGGGACATGCTCCCACTTGAAAGACCGCTGAGCTCCAAGGCAAGTTGTGGACATATAACATCCAGGATTTATAAGATCTAGTTGAATTGGAGGGAGCTGCGTCACCGTCGTTCTTGGAGGGGTGGGAAAGAGAATTGGGTATAAATATGAATGATCACCAGAAGACGAAAATCTCGGGGGATCAGGAAGGAATTTTTTTACCAGCAGGAGCAAATTGGATCGTGCTTTGCAGTTTTTTTTTTGGATCAACTGTGGGTGTAGGATTTTTTTTTTCCCAAAAATACTTTTATTAGAAGAAAAAAGGCATATCAAAGCATATACAACTAAGGGTCGCATTCCAAACATAGACACCGCATGTTGCCTCCCATTTCGCAGACGGGCCATGGATTTAAATTGGGTGTAGGATTTTAACTTTTTTTTTTTCTATGGTTGAACTGGATGGACTTTTGTCTTTTTTCAGCCAGACTAACTATGTAACTATGAAAATGTTTAAGTTAATGCATGGGGTGATGAACACGAATATAGTTGAGATTAATTATAAATGTTTGTCTAGATCAGTGTTTCTCAACTCCAGTCCTCATGGACCCCCAACAGGTCATGTTTTCAGGATTTCCATTATTTTGCACAGGTGATTTGATCAGTTTCACTGCCTTAGTAATTACCACAGCTGTTTCATCTGAGGGAAATCCTGAAAACATGACCTGTTGGGGGTCCATGAGGACTGGAGTTGAGAAACACTGGTCTAGATGTATTGCACATCGATTTCGACACATGAACAGAGAGAAGAAGTATCACCTTTATGTTGGAGAGGATGTGGGGCAATAGGGACAATGGCTCATATATGGTGGGAATGCCCAAAAATTCAGTTATATTGGCAGGAGATAATTCATCATATACAGGAGATTTGGAGGACATCTATCCAGAAGGATCCATGGGTATGTCTTTTCTGTAGAACAGAGTTGTCGGTAAAACAATATAAAAAACAGTTTATAAACCCCCCACCTCACCCCCTCAGTCTCCGCCCGAATCACACACCTACTGAGCGACATATCAGACTGGATGTCGCTCCACTTCCTTAAACTGAACCTCTCCAAGTTTCTTGTCTTCCCCCCAGCCCGGACACCACCCCCCATTGACTTCACCGTCACGTCCAACAACGCCACCATCAAACCCGCCCCGCAGGGCCAGAGTACTTGGTGTCATTCTGGACTCCAACCTATCCTTCCAGCCCCAAGTCCAATCTTTAACAAACTCGTGCAGACTCCACCTCCGCAACATCGCCAAAATCCGCACGTTCCTAACCCCAGAAACCACTAAACAGCTCATCCACTCCCTCATCATATCACGACTCGACTACTGCAACTCCCTCCTCACTGGCCTGCCTCGCCGCTGGCTATCCCCGCTTCAGTCCATCCTGAATACGGCTGCCAGACTCATTCACCTCACCAACCGCTCCGTTTCCGCCACCCCCCTCTGCCAATCCCTCCACTGGCTTCCGATTGCGCAACGGATCAAATTCAAAATCCTAACACTGACGTACAAAGCCGTCCACCATACTGCCCCGAACTACATCACTGACCTAATATCCAAGTACCGCCCAACACGCACACTCCGCTCCTCACAAGACCTCCTTCTCTCTAGTTCCCTGGTCTCCTCCTCCCATGCCCGCCTCGAGGACTTCTCCAGGGTGTCACCCATCCTCTGGAACTCCCTGCCCCAACCCATCAGATTATCACCTACTCTCCTCTCCTTTAGGCACACCCTGAAAACCCATCTCTTCAGGGAAGCCTACCCCACCCCCTGCTAACTTGCCGACCTCCTCCACTCTTCCTACCACTCCATCCCCCACAGCTATCTCCTCCTGTGCCACCACCCCCTCCCTCCTAGATTGTAAGCTCGAAAGAGCAGGGCCCTCGATCCCCTCATGTTTTGCATTGTATTGGTATTGTTCTGTCACATGTTCTGTCCCCCTTTGTAATGTACAGCGCTGAGCGAACTATCGGTGCTTTATAAATACTGTATAATAATAATAATAATTATATCATCTGATTGGTGCGGCAAAGGGTTTCATTCCTAGGTTTTGGAAGGCCAAGGATCCACCAACAGTGAGGGATTGGATAGACAGAGTAGAATATGTTAGCAGGATGGAGGAACTTGGTTATATGGAGAAAGATGAATGGAAAAGTTTAGAAAGATTTGGGGTAAATGGTATGAGTTTAAAACTTCAGAAAAATACTTAAAAAACGAAAGGCCCCCCCGATAATAGTACCAGAGAATTGAAATGGTTAAAGAGATCTATATATATATGACTAGATTAATAGGAGGGGAAAGAGAGGATAAGATGAGATTGGGCAGGGGTGTGTTGGGGTGGGGATGGGGATGAAGTTTATATGTATGATGTAAAAAGATTTATGATGGTTTTGTAAGGTATTTGTTTCTTAAAAGAAAATTTAATAAAAGATATAATGGGAAAAAAAACAAAAAACAAAACAAATGTTAAACAAGTAGGTGTCAACTGAGGGCCGTCTAGACGGGATACGGGTATTTCCAGCGCAGAATAGCACCGTCGTTGCTGACGCTGATGATGTATTTGGAGAGGGGGCAGATCTTTAGCTGGCTGATGCTGCCACTGTGGCCAATACCCACTTGGGTCACCTCACCCTCGTTGTAATCCCAAACTTTTACCAGTTTGTCGTCCCCACCTGGAAGAGCGAGAATAAGAAAGGTTACCCTCAGAAAAGATAACACCATTTTTTCTGCTCTGTTCTGACATGAAGCTGGCAGGGCATGCTGAGACCTGTAGTTCTTCAGCGGCTGACAGGAGCAGCATTTTATAGTACATGGTCACTGGTTCTAAAATTTTTGTTCAAAGCCGGATTTTAGCGCAGCAGTTTGAGCCTTCACCATAAGGGTACACTCTTGCATAGCTGGACCCCCACAAATATTAATGTATTCTACTGCAAAATATGGAGAATCCATAGTGGTGGTGTGACACCATCATCTGACTCTGCATTGGCCATGGACAAAACTGGAAATTCTGATGTGAAGGTCTTAACCCCCTCACGCCTGAGGGTAAAACAAATCTTAATGCCTAAGCACAATTTTGCAACATTGACATGTGTTAGTAAAACCGTCCATATCATCACAACTACTTTGTACATCCAGGTGAATTTATACCGCGTTTTTTTCAGGACAAATTGGGCTTTCATTTGGTAGTAAATGGTAATGGATATCTCCTGATTTTTTTTATTATCAAAGGAATACTGGCCCAAAATAGTAAAAAAAAAAAAAAAAATTTTAAATTTAGCTGTGTGTTTCTTGTTACTACCATAACCTACCACCAAAGAACAACCCAAAATAAATTTTCCAGCTCCTGACGATCGCAGCGATACCATATATGTGTATTTTATTTGTTGTTTGTACCTGTAGTACAGCCCAGAAACAAAGTGCGCATTTTTGTTTTTTTTACCTAAAACACACTGACACGAACTGACACCAATTAAAAAAAAAAATTAAAAAATCCTGACCTTGACCCAAACGCTTACCCTGGCACTGAACTAGATCAAACCTTGATCTATGTATTTTTTCTTTGTTTTTTATTTTATTTTAAAATATTTATTTAAATATTATTTATTTAAATATATTTATTTTTTTTAACAAAAAATTTTTTTTCTCTATGCCAGGAGTTAGAGAGATACAATGTATCTCTCTCCTCCATTCATACAGAATAAAAACAAGGGGGGGCGGGCTATATAGTGACTGATCACTGTGATAGCCAATCAGAGGCTAACACAGCGATCATGTGACCCAGAATCGGGAGTCCAGCATCCCGATCGTTAGAACGGAACCCGGAGCTCTTAGTGACACACCATGGTCTTTGTGCTGGGAGCGCGCTGTGCCTGCAAATGGAGCCATCCTGCGCAGCTCTGCCACGGCTCACCTGGAGCTTCCATCTTCCTTCCGGGTTCCATGTCTTTGGCCGCAGTAGCCCGGGGGGTCAACGCTTTCCATCTGCCTGCCTAGTCACATAGGAGGATGTGCTTGTAGGCAGTTGGTGTTTGACGATGCCAGCACAGACAGTGCAAATGGGGTGACTATGTTGTGCCTGTTACAGTCCTCCCCCAAAGGATGGGGAAGACTAATGCAGGCCATATATTATTTGAATTACGAATGATTTTTCCTCCAAAAATCGAAAACATTGTTCGCTCGGTAATCCGATGGCGCCATCAATGATTTCGAAAATTGGACGACCAAGTCATAAAGTTCACCCCATATAACAGGTGAAACTTCTGTTCCTTCCAGGTCACGGCTCATGGCGCATATTCTTTTCGGAAAAACGATCGTACGATTTGACCATCATTGAGTCGTAAATCGGTCCTTTTTCACAAATTTTCCAACATGCCCAATCACCGAAAAGGGGAGGAACCACGATAATAGGCCGGTGCCATTGACCCACTAAGAACGAAAATCGGCCAATTATTCTTAGGTCCGATTTTTCGAACGAAAAATCGGTCGCATTTTGACCCATGTATGGCCGGCATAAGCTGCTACCTTGCCCTATTCTGCCGTGATACATCATGGACTGGTGGCCAGAAAGGGTCCTCAACTCAGTACTCAGTATACTGCAATGGAAACCATGTTACCTGTCACAAAGTGGCTTCCGCTGTCACTTATGTCCATTCCGTTGATGGAGCCAGACATGGATCCCTCAAGACCTCTTATTGGTGAGCCATCGAACACTTCCCAGTACCCGATCTACAACAAAATAATTCAACCAGACACTCTTTACTAGCATGGAAAAGTGAATGAGTATGAAAAGGCAAAACTTTTATTTTTGTCTCAGATTGTGGAAGGATTAGACCCCCTGTCGGGTTTTCGTTGCTGTATCTGTCCAGGCTGGAAAGATTCACTCTCTACCCATGTGGAAGAAAAATATATTTGAAATACTACAATTTTGGCCATATTCGATATATTTAAAAATATATTTCAATAAATAAATATATATATACTGCATGTTGAAATGCGTTTTACAAAATATATGAAAAATATATATTTTTTTTAAATTTCAAATATACTGTATGTCTTTAAAAAATACAAATCTACATTTTTGGAATGCATTTACAAATATATGTAAAAATATGTTAAAATGACTTTTTTATATGTTAAAAAAAAATCTGAAGAATATATTTATTAAATATATATATTTTTAAACGTTTTTTTTTTTAATAAATATATCTGAAGGGATCCTGCTGGGATCGTTGGCTTTCTTTACAACTCACCTTTTCTTGGAGGGAGTCCGGTGTCACCCCGTATGGGTTGCATGCCGACGATCCTGCGGGGATGAGCCCGACATGTCCCTGCCTAGCAGCGTGGTGGAGTGTTTGGATGCCGCGCTGGCTCCATTCACTTCATCCATCCTACAGCCCCCTTTTTCATTTGCATGTACTGCCCTTCATTCATCGCCATGCAGCATCCTGGCTGTTCCATAATTGGAGGCTCTTCTTTTTAGCGTGATGACCGTTCATTAAATATTAGGATCACTTTCTTTGGAGGCAAATTTTATATTTTTATATTATATTATATATTTCATGTTTTAGTCTGTGTCTATTTTATGCATGGCACAGGCTGCTGTTTGTCATATGATTTCCTTTTTTTTTTTTTGTCCTTTTCTGCTATTGGGCCGTTGAGAGTGGGTGGGAGGGTCTGTTTCACCCTCCTTTTGACATTTCTCTGGTATATAGGCTGGTGGCCAGTAGGTTCATTTTTAGCTCTGAGGAAGGGGGTTCAGCCCCCAAAACGCGTCAGCTTATCCACATTTAGACACAGCACCTTTGTGACTTTTTTGTGGACCCTATACACTGCTTTTAATTTCGTTGGCTTGTGAGTATACATCCATTTGTTCATTCATTAAAACACCTGGTGTACCACGGTAATGCACGATGAGAGTGCGCCCTTGTCTGTTCTATGAAACCTATACGGGGTGACACCGGACCCGCTCCAAGAAAAGGTAAGTTGTAAAGAAAGCCGACGATCCCAGCAGGATGCATCGGATCTGCGAATTGAGCATAATGGATCAGAGTCCGCCGATCCATTATGCTTAACCCGCAGATCCGATCCATTCTGCGGAGATCATCAGAGGGGGTGTCACCAAGTGTTACCAGACTGGGTGACACCAACCCTAGGGACACCTCTGACCTGTCTGTTCCAGGACCACTCGTTACAGCATTCAGTACCATCCAGCTGCAGACTGCCTACAGCAAGACTGGGCACCACACCTGTCCTTCCTGGGTGCAGCAAAGCGCTGGGAGGGACATACAGCCCCGTGTGCAATATCCTCATGTTATTTAATAGTATTCATGTTTCTTTGTCATCTGATGATGGTTGTACCTTTCTGTCAGTGCCGCTGGTGATGATCTGGAATTCCTCGGGGTGGTAACAGACGCAGCGGAACAATGTATTGGATAAGATCATCTGTTTCCGTACAAACCTCCTGGAAGAACAGAACAGATCTAAGTTACAGAGGAAGAAGACTATAACTGAGGGGGTGACGGCCTTTCCATGTTGTCAGAAGGACCCCAATATGATGAATGCTCCAACCCTATCTCCCAGCTGTGCATCCAAATGGCATTATATACAAAAAAAAAACTTTCTTTCTTCTTCCTCCATTTTACCTTTTCTTATCTGCTATCTGAACGTCTGCAAGGCTTGTGGTATGTACTTTATACAGATAATACTACTTGCACTGATAATGCTGGACCTAAACTTATAGGGAACATCTAGAAATGTAAGTCGTGTCTAAGCAGTTCCCTGAAAAATTAGCTTTTGTTAGAAATTCCTCCTTAAAAAGGAGCAGTGGATTTCCTGTGCCTGGGCTCTCCTCTTCTGTAGCCTCATAGTTTGTATATCAACAGTGTGAGATCATCTAAGGCACTGCTTGCTCTTACTGCTAATCTCACCAGATTCGGAGTGAGATTTGCTGAGGTCACTACTTTACTGTTCTCCTTGCTGGAGAGGAAGCTGTACCTGAGGACCTGCAGTACAAGGATCTACCTGCCTGTGCTTCACCCATTCTGTAGATCTGTGGCTCCTCTACCTTTTCTGCGGCTTCTTCATCACACTACTCCACCTGTCACCAGATAACCAGTTATTGGGGGACAGCAGATCTGGCTCTAGGAAGCAAAGACCTACCAAGATGGGCCCCGTCCACACAGAGACATTGTGGAGAACAAGGCATGGTAAGTCAGTACTGGAGAACAAAACAGCTACAGCAAGATTTTAAGCTATACTGTGACTAGGCCTTCGTTCTCTGCTTGCCTTTATTGAGCACAGCCCCCTGTAAGGCACAATCTGGGGCAAACACAACGCTGATGTCCATGACTGTTTAGCTGGCAAGATATTTTGTTTTCTGTTCAGCCAATCATATAACTTACACTACCCTGATGAACAGCATAAACATTGAATTTCACTGCCACTGGTGGTTCAGCAGTTTCCTGTACCGCATGATCAACATGTATAATACATAAGGGGGATATGATCTCCATGTATAATACATAAGGGGGGATATGATCAACATGTATAATACATAAGGGGGATATGATCTCCATGTATAATACATAAGGGGGGATATGATCTCCATGTATAATACATACGGGGGATATGATCTCCATGTATAATACATAAGGGGGGATATGATCACCATGTATAATACATAAGGGGGGATATGATCACCATGTATAATACATAAAGGGGAATATGATCTCCATGTATAATACATAAGGGGGGATATGATCTCCATGTATAATACATAAGGGGGGATATGATCACCATGTATAATACATAAGGGGGGGATATGATCTCCATGTATAATACATAAGGGGGATATGATCTCCATGTATAATACATAAGGGGGATATGATCACCATGTATAATACATAAGGGGGGATATGATCTCCATGTATAATACATAAGGGGGGGATATGATCTCTATGTATAATACATAAGGGGGGGATATGATCTCCATGTATAATACATAAGGGGGGATATGATCTCCATGTATAATACATAAGGGGGGGATATGATCTCCATGTATAATACATAAGGGGGGGATATGATCTCCATGTATAATACATAAGGGGGGTATGATCTCCATGTATAATACATAAGGGGGGGATATGATCTCCATGTATAATACATAAGGGGGATATGATCTCCATGTATAATACATAAGGGGGGATATGATCTCCATGTATAATACATAAGGGGGGATATGATCTCCATGTATAATACATAAGGGGGGGTATGATCTCCATGTATAATACATAAGGGGGGATATGATCTCCATGTATAATACATAAGGGGGGGGATATGATCTCCATGTATAATACATAAGGGGGATATGATCTCCATGTATAAATACATAAGGGGGGATATGATCTCCATGTATAATACATAAGGGGGGATATGATCCCCATGTATAATACATAAGGGGGGGATATGATCTCCATGTATAATACATAAGGGGGGGATATGATCTCCATGTATAATACATAAGGGGGGATATGATCTCCATGTATAATACATAAGGGGGGATATGATCTCCATGTATAATACATAAGGGGGGGATATGATCACCATGTATAATACATAAGGGGGGGGGGATATGATCTCCATGTATAAATACATCAGTGGTTCATATAGTGAACTCGGTGTAGTTCTTCCCCCTGAAGTCATCACAGAGGACAAGGGGGCGCTCTTTACGTCTGGAAGAAAAGAAATTTAATCTCCAAACACGGAAAGGTTTCTTCACAGTGAGAGCTGTGAGAATGTGGAATAGACTCCCTCCAGAGTTGGTTGTGGCCAGCTCAGTGGATTGCTGTAGGAAAGTCCTGGATTCTTTCTTGGATACACAGAATATAACTGGATATAACATTTATAGGTAAAGTTGATCCATGGAATATCTGATTGCCTCTCGGGGGATCAGGAAGGAATTTTTTTTTCCCTGCAGGAACAAATTGGATCGTGCTTTGCTGGTTTTTTTTTTGCCTTCCTCTGGATCAACTGTGTGTGTAGGATTATAACTTTTTCTTCTATGGTTGAACTAGATGGACTTTTGTCTTTTTTCAGCCAGACTAACTATGTAACTATGAATCCAGTAGCAGGACAAGGTCCTCTGTCACCAAAATCAAAAAGGCCAAAGTTTACCCCACCTCCACCATGGGCTGTGAACTTCACCAGCATAGGTTGCAAGTCCTGCCCTTTTGTTGCCTCCTCTTGCTGAATCACCCAAGGTGCCATCTCCTTTGCCTACCGTTTAACCCAGCTCTGCTCACATCACAACATTGCTGAACCCCTCCCTGTCCTCACCGTCCATGTAAGCTACCTAATCATTCTTCCTCTCCAACTCCCAGTGCTTGAAACATGTTGGATAGTCAGAAGGTGGAAAATCTTTGTCTGCATTATGCACTTCTGATGTCTGAAGGACTTGTTTATATCCTACTAGAGAAATCCTAAATGCAGTGCACAGAGAACATATATCTTAGGCTGTTTGGAATCCTTGTTGGGATCTGACAGCACTACCATTGGAAAAGTTTGGCTCATGAACACACAAATAGGGGGATATCTGTGAACACACAAATAGGGGGGATATCTGTGAACACACAAATAGGGGAGATATCTGTGAAGAACTGACACAAGGTCCCATATGATGCAGGCTCCATCCGAGCTGGCCGTTACACATTCCCGGTTGTTGCTCTTCAGTTTGATACAAGTTACAGCCGACTTGTGTTCCTTCATGGATTCTACGAGCCGATGGCTTTCTCTGCCGACCTCCCACACTCTCACCTGCAGAATAAAATTGCAGCGTTAAGTCACAGTTACCAGGTGCTGGATTTAAGGCTGAACTCCAGGCTTACCCCCCCCCCCCCCCTGTAGCAAGTCCTGTGTTGAAACCAATTACTCTGAATTCCCTGAACATCGTATATCTCCACATATAAACCTTACAGCTTGAGTGTGCCTTCATATCCTGTCTGAATCATTATCAATTCTCTCTCCTCCTGAACCACACTGTCGTTGTCCACCTCTAACTGCCATTAGCTTTCTTCTGCTCGCAATCATTATATGAGAGAGCACATCGCATCATCCTTTTAGATGTGCATGCTGCCTGGGTGATGCAGATTTTAGCTGTGCAATCTGCTGATCGGTTACTTGATTACAAAGTAAGCAAATGATCAGCAGATTGCACAGCTAAAATCTACATCACCCTGTAGGCAGCAAGGATGTAGATCTAAAGGAAGGCAGGGATATGTTCTCATAAAACACTTGAGGCAGCGTGCTGTGACATTTACAGAAGCCACGCCCACCAATCTCCATTATAAGAAAGGACTGGAAGACAGATCCACTGATGATGTCATCACTTTCTAAATAGGTATTTCTTGAAAATGAAATGATTTGATTGAAATATTTTATTTGCATATTTAAAAATCCTGACCTTTTGACCTTTGACCCTGACATTGACCCAAACACTAACCCTGGCATTGAACTAGATGAAACCTTGTGCTAGGTATTTTTTCTTTATTTTTTATTTTATTTTTTTATATTTGTTTTGTTTTTTTTTAAACGAACATTTTTTTCCCCCTCTATGCCAGGAATTAGAGAGATACAACGTATCTCTCTCCACCATTTATAGAGAGAGAAAAAAAACAAGGGGGCCGGCCTGTACAGTGACTGATCATTGTGATAGCCAATCAGAGGCTATCACAGCGATTATGTGACCCGAAATCGGGAGTCCCAGGTCCCGATCATTAGAACAGGACCCGGTGCTCTCAGTGACACCGCGGTCTTTGTGCTGGGAGTGTGCCGTGCAGCGTGCTCCCAGCACAAAGACAGGCATGCAAACATGCGGCCCCACGAAAAAAAAAGCCCAGTTCTGTGAGGCCGCATATTTGTGTGACGTCGGTGTCAAGGGGTTAATGACAACACTCCCCTATCTTGTCTAACTGAACAGTGAATGAACAGCAGCAGAAGAGTGATAAGGTCATTACTCGGCTCTCTCCCCCTATGAGCATGCTCCTTATCAACACACTTCTTCGGACAAGTTTTTATATTTGTTCCTGATCCCAGTTGGGAAGATTTTCCTTAATTTCCTGTCTCCATGAACCTGCACCATGTAGTGCAGCATAGCTGATTGGTTCCTTGTGTTGCTGCTTCCTCTTCCTCCACAAGCTCTGCTGTACAGTAACTGCAGGAGGCTGATGCCAAGGCAAATTCAGGCACTTACACTGCCGGTATTTTGAAAAATAAATTTCATGATTTAATAATGAATACAGAGCTGCATTCATTTGTGTCTTTTATATCTGCCTGAGTTCAGCTTTAAGGCCCCAATGTCAGAGGTCACACACCTGTCCTTCCCCTCCTCCGCTCACAATCCTCTTGCAGTCGCTCGTCACTGCGATGGCGGTCACTCCCATGCTGTGAGCATTTTCTATCTGGTACATGAGTCGTCCACTTTCGGGTGTGAATACACGGATCTTTCCATCATTCCAGGCTGTGGGAAAAATTTAATTTTTATAAAATCTCCATTCAATGTAATGAAATAGGGACATGTATGTAATTTTGTTTGAGTCCACTCACATCAGTCCCTACACCACAAGAGCTTACTATCTAATCTCTCTAGCCCAGTCATGCAAGCACACGCACCAATGTTGGGTTGGTCAGAACCTACCATCATGTGTTTGGTGGAAAGAAAATTCTTTGCAGATTGTGTCCAATATAGTGAGCTGTCAACCCAGAATCTTAGCGCTGCAAGGCAGCAGTGCTAAACACTGTGCTCTATGGTTATTCCTCCATTAAGATGGAAGGTAGGATGTCCCCCGCAGTGCTAAACACTGTGCTCTATGGTTATTCCTCCAACAAGATGGGAGGTAGGATGTCCCCGCAGTGCTAAACACTGTGCTCTATGTTTATTCCTCCAATAAGATGGGAGGTAGGATGTCCCACGCAGTGCTAAACACTGTGCTCTATGGTTATTCCTCCAATAAGATGGGAGGTAGGATGTCCCTCGCAGTGCTAAACACTGTGCTCCATGGTTATGCCTCCCAATAGGATGGGAGGTAGGATGTCCCACGCAGTGCTAAACACTGTGCTCTATGGTTATGCCTCCCAATAGGATGGGAGGTAGGATGTCCCCCGCAGTGCTAAACACTGTGCTCCATGGTTATTCCTCCAATAAGATGGGAGGTAGGATGTCCCCTGCAGTGCTAAACACTGTGCTCCATGGTTATGCCTCCCAATAGGATGGGAGGTAGGATGTCCCACGCAGTGCTAAACACTGTGCTCTATGGTTATTCCTCCAATAAGATGGGAGGTAGGATGTCCCACGCAGTGCTAAACATTACGCTCTATGGTTATTCCTCCAATAAGATGGGAGGTAGGACGTCCCCCGCAATACTAAACACTGTGCTCCATGGTTATTCCTTCAATAAGATGGGAGGTAGGATGTCCCCCGCAGTGCTAAACACTGTGCTCTATGGTTATTCCTCCAATAGGATGGGAGGTAGGATGTCCCCTGCAATACTAAACACTGTGCTCCATGGTTATTCCTCCAATAGGATGGGAGGTAGGATGTCCCCCGCAGTGCTAAACACTGTGCTCTATGGTTATTCCTCCAATAAGATGGGAGGTAGGATGTCCCCCGCAGTGCTAAACACTGTGCTCTATGGTTATTCCTCCAATAGGATGGGAGGTAGGATGTCCCCTGCAGTGCTAAACACTGTGCTCCATGGTTATTCCTCCAATAAGATGGGAGGTAGGATGTCCCCCGCAGTGCTAAACACTGTGCTCTATGGTTATTCCTCCAATAAGATGATAGTGGGAGGATGGACTTCGCAGTGCTAAACACTGTGCTCTATATTTATTCCTCCAATCAGAGGACAGGAAAGACGTCCTCACAGTGCTAAACACTGTGCTCTATGATTATTCCTCCAATCAGGGGACAGATAAGATGTCCTCACAGTGCTACACACTGTGCTCTAGGATTATTCCTCCAATCAGGGGACAGGTAAGATGTCCTCACTGTGCTAAACACTGTGCTCTATATTTATTCCTCCAATCAGAGGACAGGAAAGACGTCCTCACAGTGCTAAACACTGTGCTCTATGATTATTCCTCCAATCAGAGGACAGGAAAGACGTCCTCACAGTGCTAAACACTGTGCTCTATGATCTTTACTTTGGGAGGAGGACAGGAGGGATGTCCTCTGCATTGCTAAAACCTGTGCTCTATAGTTATTCCACCAATAAGAGAGCAGGTGGGGAATCCTGCTGACAGAACATAGCCCTCGCCTGATAGGATGCTCTTGCCGTCTCTTGTAAATTCAATGGCGTTGCAGGTCATGTTGGGTATGGTGATCCGCAGCAGTTCCTTGTTGCTGGCTGTGTGCCAAACACGGATGTCACTTTTGGCACATGTGGCGAACAGCTCTGAAGTACCACTGGAGAGAAAAAACCCGGGAAGGTAATAAAAGTGCAACAACGTTCATAATAAAATGACATAATGTGACTTGAACTAGTTTAGATGTTAGGTTAGTGTGGGGGAGGGGTTTAGAGTGCGACTAAAGGCAAAAGAAAAAAGAACAATCTGTTACATAGCACTAACACAGCAGTCCGATGACATCACTCTATTCAAAAAACTTTATTCCACAATGCCAAAATGACAGTCTCTGCCTGTGGACCGCCCACTCTAACATGTTTCATCCAAAGCAGGCTGCAATTAAGAATGTTTTGGGTGAAATGCGTCAGTCTGGGAGCCTGGGAGGTCCCAGGAGATCCTGCCATGAAGGACTTGTTCAAGCACTTCCTTTGTCCCTGCCTCCCAATTGTGCTTCTGCGTTGTCACCCTGTTACATGGGCTCCCAATGGAGACCACAAGTGACTATTTCAACACACATTACACAGGCATGGTCCACTGTTGTCACCATCAGGAAACCCACCCTGAGAAATGCCATGTAGACAGGAAGAAGATTTGCAGGGCCAGGATGAAAAAATGGCAAAAACAAGTTTTGAATTTAAAAATGGGAAATGTTCAGGATACGTCTGCTTCAGGATAATCACTGAATATCGTATATGTATTTCATATTTTGATCAAGCATACATACAAGGGGAAGACGATGTCGTTGATGGCTTCGCTGTGACAAGTAGCTATAAGCTCTTCTTTAAATTCCGGAAAGTTGAAACGGTAGATCTGTGCCTCAGAGGTGCCCACGAAGAACTGGTGACCCTGACCACGGAGGGTGATGGAGGTGACAGCCCCCTGCAGCTGGACACTCCTGGGGGACGGAGAAGCACAGCCATACAACATCATTAGTTATTATTATTATTATACAGGATTTATATATTATTATTATTATTATACTGGATTTATATTATTATTATTATACAGGATTTATATATTATTATTATTATACTGGATTTATATATTATTATTATACAGGATTTTATATTATTATTATTATTATACTGGATTTATATATTATTATTATTATACTGGATTTATATTATTATTATTATACAGGATTTATATATTATTATTATTATACAGGATTTATATTATTATACAGGATTTATATATTATTATTATTATTATACAGGATTTATATTATTATTATTATACAGGATTTATATATTATTATTATTATACTGGATTTATATATTATTATTATTATACAGGATTTATATATTATTATTACTATACAGGATTTATATATTATTATTATTATACAGGATTTATATTATTATTATTATTATACTGGATTTATATTATTATTATTATACAGGATTTATATATTATTATTATTATACAGGATTTATATATTATTATTATTATACAGGATTTATGGCGCCAACAGTTTGCTCAGCGCTTTACAATATAACGGGAGACAATACAGCAACAATACAGTTCAATACAAGAGGGATAGGAGGGCCTGATCCTGGGAGCTTACAATCTAGGAGGGAGGGTCTGATCCTGGGAGCTTACAATCTAGGAGGGAGGGTCTGATCCTGGGAGCTTACAATCTAGGAGGGAGGGCCCTGATCCTGGGAGCTTACAATCTAGTTGCGTTTTTTATTTTTTTATGAATTGGACAGAACACAATTTTTATAGATGCAGCTCTTTTTCTAGAGCAGCCTGGGTACCCCAGAATCAGCCTGGTACCCCAGAACTCTGGGCACTATTACTTCTATACCAACTTCAGCTGAGCCTTTTAATGGCAATACTCCTTATATTATATATATAAAAATTATATTTACACTTAGGGAAAATAAACGTGAAAGAATATGAGTGATGCCACCACAAAAATTTTGAATACTTAATTCTAAATAATTCCCTCTTAACTCGGTGCACTTCTCTAGCTATTAAACAATGGCTCAACAGTAATTATAACCGTCAAAAAATATAAAAGCGAGCGCATATATATAAGAAGTAAATATTCCAAGTAGCTGCTAGCACTATAGGGCATAGGCAACAATCCCAAAAGACGTTTTCAAAATATATAAAAGTGCAGCGCTGTGATATATATGAATAAATAAAATATATTTAGATCATAAAGTAATTAGTGCACAATGTATAAAGTGCTAATTAGTGCAATATGTGCATAAAGTGAATAAATCAATAAATGTCCATAATAATCATTCCGATTTCAGCTATAAAAGTAAAAAAGGATAATTCAGCAGAAGTATTTCTTCAATTAAGACACGATATATCCTTGTGACCAAAGTGCAACAGTGCATATATCTTTAACCACTTCAAGTCCGGACACTTTCACCCCTTTCCAGTCCGGACACTTTCACCCCCCTTCCAGTCCGGACACTTTCACCCCCTTCCAGTCCAGACACTTTCCCCCCTTCCAGTCCGGACACTTTCACCCCCTTCCAGTCCGGACACTTTCCCCCCCTTCCAGTCCGGACACTTTCCCCCCCTTCCAGTCCGGACACTTTCACCCTCCATCCAGTCCGGACACTTTCACCCCCTTCCAGTCCGGACACTTTCACCCCCTTCCAGTCCGGACACTTTCACCCCCTTCCAGTCCGGACACTTTCCCCCCTTCCAGTCCAGACACTTTTACCCCCGTCCAGTCCAGACACTTCCCCCCTTCCAGTCCGGACACTTTCACCCCCTTCCAGTCCGGACACTTTCCCCCCCTTCCAGTCCAGACATTTTTACCCCCTTCCAGTCCGGACACTTTCACCCCTTCCAGTCCGGACACTTTCCCCCCCTTCCAGTCCGGACACTTTCACCCCCTTCCTGTCCAGACACTTTCACCCCCTTCCAGTCCGGACACTTTCACCCCCTTCCAGTCCAGACACTTTCACCCCCTTCCAGTCCGGACACTTTCACCCCCTTCCAGTCCGGACACTTTCACCCCCTTCCTGTCCCGGCCAATTTTCAGCTTTCAGCGCTATCACGCTTTGAATGACAATTGCGCGGTCATGCAACACTGTACCCATATGAATTTTTTAGCATTTGTTTGAGACAGATAAAACTTTACTTTTGTGGTATTTATTCACCACTAGGATTTTTATTTTTTTTTTGTTATATAAATGAAAAAGTCCAAACATTTTAAAAAAAAGGTGTTTTTCTTATAAAATTTTGCAAATAAATATTATTTCATCATAAATCTTGGCCAAAATTTATTCAGTTATATTTTTAGTAAAAAAAAAAAAATAACCCAAATTAGTTTAGAACCAAAAATTATATTTTTTTTTAAATTTCTTTTTTACATTTTTATTTTATTTTTTTATATTATTATTTTTTTTTTTTTTTTTTTAACATACTGTCACCCTAGCATGCTTCATCACCCCCCCCCCCCCCCCCCCCCACATACTTGTGGGGGGTGATGAAGATTTTTTTTTTTACACTGATTGCTTTTACACACCCATAAAGGCTATAAAAGCAATCATTTCTCTTTCTCTCTGTGTGCATTCTTGCACCCATTGAGAAGTACTGAGTGAGCTGTGATTGGTCACAGCTTGTCACATGGTACAAGACTGTTGTGAATAGCCCTGTACTATGTGACCTCTGTGATCATTCACAGATTTCACATGTAGTAAGCAATGATGTCAGAAAGTGACATCTTGCTTACTACTATTCATGTGATCACTGATTGGCCAATCAGTGATCACATGATTGGGATCTCACACAGAGGTCCCGTACAACGATCGGTGTTCCACTGTGTCCGGAGGACACAGCGGGCACTGGATCGCGGTGCTGCGTGCTCCCAGGGAGCACGCACAAGCAGGGGTGGGGAGGCCATTTATAAATCCCTGCACTGCCACCATCCGGCCATTTATATACAACGGCTGGACGGGAGGTGATTAAAGGTAATCCAGCACTTCTGATGGATTCACCAGAACTTTGATATATACAAGCATTGGTTACAATCTGTCACATCTGGATGCAGGAGTAGAGGTACGGTTTAAAGGTTATTCATCCAGCATCCTCACAGTACCGGTGGTGCGTGTCTCCTTGATCTGGGGAAAATTGCTCAACCACAGGAGCCAAAGGGACTAATATAGTGTAGTATTTATTTGTTTAAAAGTTGGTATACATATATCAAAGCAATCCACGTGGAAAAGAATAATAACAAGGTACCAAAATACCTGCCGCTCCTTGCCCAGGAGACAACGGCGTGATGTCAGCAATGAAGGCTCCACCCAACGCGTTTCGTGAGACAGCACGTCCTCAGGGGTACGCCCAGTAATTATAACCAGTAGCACAACAATCAAGTGCCTTATTCATATAACAAAGTCCAGAAAAAGTGCCTTGTTAGATAGTTATAGTCCAATAAAACGATTCCAAAGATAAGGTGCGCAGTCTGAACAAATTCAAAGCAGTTTATGGATGATACTCTGCACACGAGTGATTATTCGTGATTCCTCTGCCATATAAAAGCTATTCAGCTTCTTACCAAATATATTGATCTCAATATGAAGAGATCAATACACACTTTTTTATATGAAGAAGGCACGTGATTGTTGCACTGTTGGTAATAAATACTGTTGATTTATTGTTTAACCGCATGCCGCCCAGCCACTGTACATATACGGCGGCAGGGCGGCACTCACAGGCAAAACCACGTTTTAAAACGTGTGTTTTGTAAACAAATAGGGGGCCCCCATTGCCATTAGTACCGTGTCAGTTTTTTTTTTTTTGCACTGATCACTGTATTAGTGTTTTTGGGGATGTCAGTGACCCCAAGTCAGTACCCCCCAATGTCAGAATGTCCGCCGCAGTCCCGCAGTCCCGCCATAAGTCGCTGATCGCCATTATTAGCATAAAAAAAAACCCTAAAAATCCCAGTATCTTTCCAGTATCTTTCCCGCCGTTTGTAAACGCTATAACTTTCACGTAAACCAATTAATTTACACGTATTGGGTTTTTTTTAGCAAAGACATGTCGCAGAATGCATTTTGGCAGAAATTTATGACTAAATTTGATTTTTGCATTTTTTTTTTACTGGACATGTTTTATAGCAAAAAGTCCAAAATATATATTTTTTTTCCTCAAAATTGTCAGCCTTTTTTTTTTTTATAGCACAAAAAATAAAAACCGCACAGCCGATCAAATACCACCGAAAGAAAGCTCAATTTGTGGGGAAAAAAAAAGGATGTAAATTTCATTTATGTACCGTATTGCATGACCGCGCAATTGTCCGTTAAACTAGCGCAGTAAACTGTATAGCAGAAAAATAAATTGCAGTATCTATACCAGCAATGGGCAAACTACGGCCCGGCGGACCTTTTAATCCGGCCCGCGGAGCTAGGCTCCTCTCACAGTCCGCCCTGAAGACCGGTGTAGCATGAAAATCTGTCTCCTATGAGGATCTGTCCCCCTCGACGTATCTGCACATGTGCCGGAGATCGCCGATCGGCTGCTAATGCCTGAAACTGGCACATGCGCAGATACATCGAGGGGGACAGATCCTCATAGGAGACAGATTTTCATGCTACACCGGAATGGGAACACGGCAAGAGGAACGCGCGGAGCAAAGGTAAGTGAATTGACACAGGGGGGATTTGGGGACTTAATATGGGGGGATGAATTACTATGGGGAATGAATTACTATATGGGGGATGAATTACTATATGGGGGATGAATTACTATGGGGGATGAATTACTATATGGGGGATGAATTACTATGGGGGATGAATTACTATATGGGGGATGAATTACTATAGGGGGGATGAATTACTATGGGGGATGAATTACTATGGGGGATGAATTACTATATGGGGGGATGAATTACTATATGGGGGATGAATTACTATATGGGGGATGAATTACTATATGGGGGATTAATTACT